TAGATTGTGCACTACTTAGCACCTGAAACATGCGGAATAGTTATATTTGCTTTTGCATTTGCTTGTTTAGACTGTCATCACGATGATCAATCATGCGATAGGAGCACAAGGAATCGTAAGCCGTGAATGCAAGGCTGTGGTGGATCAGTACGGAAAAACCATGTTGAATTCTCTTCTAGCTCAGGTTTAAATCACTGCTCATGACACATTCAACTTATCTATCTATAAGCAATACAATCTTGAATTTTACATCACTTGCTTGCAGGAGGATCCGAAGAAGGTATGCTCACAAATTGGAGTCTGCGCTTATGATGGTACACACAGTGTGAGGTCAGTACTGACATAATCCAATCAAAAAAATATGTCAGCATAAAACTTAAAATTGCTTCATGTCGCTCTGCAGTATGGACATCCAGTCAGTTGTAGATGACGGAACATCGGGTCTTTTAAACCAAGCGATGTGCAGTGCTTGCGAAATGGCAGCCGTGTGGATGGAGAGCGAATTGACTCAGAATCAAACACAAGAACGCATACTCGCTTATGCCGCTGAGGTGAGTTTTGAGAGTGTCTTGAGGCCTTATTTTGGACAAACATGTTAAGACTCTAATCTCTGTAAAAATCTGTATAGCTATGTAACCATATACCAACCAAAAATCAACAATCAGCAGTGGACTGTGAGAGGGTTTCGTCGATGCCTATAGTCTCATTCTCAATTGGCGGCAGAACCTTTGATCTCTCTCCTCAAGATGTAACTACTCTCATCAGTTTTTACTTAAATTTCATCTTACCAAAATCATCACAAGGAGATTACTTAAAGTCTTTTCCTTCTTTTTTATCGATCAGTATATATTCAAGATTGGGGACGGAGTTGAGTCTCAGTGCACTAGCGGTTTCACGGCCATGGATATTCCTCCACCTCGTGGACCTCTCTGGTAACTCTGGACCTCTCTACTAACCAAAAATCTCAAAAGGGTTTACTCAAAATTTTGTAATGGTGTGAAAATGCAGGATCTTGGGTGATATCTTTATGGGACCATATCACACTGTGTTCGATTACGGGAAAGCAAGAGTTGGATTCGCCAAAGCTGCTTAAACAAGATCTCTTCTTTAATACCCTTTTTTATATAATGTTTGTGAATGTGTTTTAGACAAAATCTGAAATGGTTGTAATAACTTAAACATATTGCTATCCTAGAATGGTATCATCTTAATACAGATTTTTATTTGGTTTCAGAGCTGTTTAATTTGCTTTAACTTACAGAGTACTAAGTGATCATAATGAGTCCAAGGATTGAGTTCTCTCACGATCAATGTGTTTCCCTAATCACTTAGCCTTTGCCAAAGCCAGTGTCATTGACCTCGCTCGCAGGGTCAGGAAAATTCCCCTGAAAAACAAAAGAAGAATGTTTAGCTTACTAACAAGTTTAAATTGAGTAACAACAACAAGAATGTAAGCATTGTGATAGAGGTTTTTCTTTGGGGAAGCTGCAGAAAATGATTCCTGTTCTTACCAAAAGAATGCGACAAGGCTGTGCAAGATGACTCGGAAGTGCAGAGGCACATACTTGTAGTTTATCCATCCCACCACCGGGAAAAACTGTGATTGAGATCATAGAATCAATCATCCACGACTGGTGGTTGTAGATCATACTCTCTTAAAGGACATTAACTAAATTGATATCTATCACTTACCGTCCATGCTGTAAGCTGGACCGTCGGATAAGTCTTCTTGATCCTTTCTCTAACAAGATTCCAGGGAGTTCCTGTTTCACTCAACATTGCAGAACTGTTATCAAGAACTCTAAATACCATCCACGACTGTTTGGGTATTACAAATGGAGGGAAAAAAGGAGGAACTTACTTTCGATGACTACCCCAAAATAGACCATGAAAAGCAAATGGTTCAATGGTGACAATGTCAGTTGTTCCAAAACTACCTACCAAACAATTTACATTAAAACAGACCAGTTAGCATAAACCTCCATCAATCTTTAACATAAAAATCATCGAAAAGTATTGGAAATTTTACCTTCTTTGCCACAGTCTTTGTGTCCTTCTTCCCTTTAAAAAACTTATCTAGATATGTATGAAAGAAATGACCCGCTGGTCCGAGAAAACCACCCGCAAATATCTGTTGGAGAAGGCGATAGAACTCAGTGATAAAACATCAAAAAAAGCTATCGAAATGAAGCTAGGATTGGCTTGAACTTGGGACTCTACAAGAGAAAGATTCAAGCTTTATACCATTTTGAGAAGAACCCTTCTCAGCTGAATCTTCTGTATGCCAGATAGTTTCTGCGATACAACATCGCTGACACCGGACAATACTCCAGCAGTTATTGCCTACAAATCACACACAAATTGACTCCAAATTCATAAAAAAAAAAAAACTTAAAATCATTCACATGAATCCCAGCTACTTGTAAAACAGAGTCGACGATGCTCTCAGATAATTAACTTTATAAACTGGGTTAGATTAAAAAACATAACTTTCGATCGAAAAACAACATCATCGTCTCTCAATCAATGAAACTAAACCTAATCTCAAGAAAACGAAACCACCCCAGAAACTAGATCAATCGCTTCCACAAAAGGTAAAAAAATTGATCAAATTCAAATCACAAAGAAGAAGAACAACAAGAAGAGAAGAAAAAGCTCGAACCTTTGTTCTTAAAGGATGTTGTTGAAGCTGTGCCAAGTACCGTTGCAGAGTCGTCTTCTTCGATGAAGATCCCATTTTTTTGGATTCTTCTCTTCGATACTCTCTACTTCTCTAGTGTTTGTGTTTTGACCAAATTCCTACCTAACAAAAACCGAACCAGTTCAATCCCAATTTAAGAAACCAAAATAAACCGGTCCGGTTTAAGAGTAATTAAGACTCGTTCTACGAGGATGGCGGGTAAAATTGGGAGGCTTTACGGTTAGACCAAAACCGTCACAGAAGAAACTATCAAAGCCTAATTCAATTTAATTGGTCTTTGGTCAAAATTCTCTCTTTGGTCAATTCAATTCCTTTAATTTTCTTGTTTTCTTTTATGCCTATCATCTTAAACCTATATATAACACCACACATTACATGTCTCTCTTCATTCATCAAACACAATCACAAATCTCCTGAGAGAATTAAGAAACCAACGTAACCAAAACCAATCAAGAATCGGTTTAAAACCGAGAGTTAAAGAAGATTAATCTTCATAAACACTAATGGCTTCATTGCAGGTTTCAAGATTAGTTCTTTCGTCTTCTTCTTCTTCTTCTAAAGCAGCAGTTTCAATCCCGAAACTACCGAAATTTCACGTCTCCGTTCCGAAAATACCGATAAAGAAGCAGACTTTATCGGTTAAAGAACCGAGCTTTGAGTTTGTAGAAAGTCTTCCTCTTTCATTGAAACAGAGGAGGGGCTCTGAGTCGATCCAAAGGGAGCGTCTTAATGCAGTTCTTGAAGAAGTTATGGATAGGATTGAGATGCACAAGAACATTGGAGATCAACGTAACAATTGGAACTCTCTATTGCTCAATTCTGTCAACATGATTACTCTCACCGCAGCTTTGATGGCCGGAATAGCCTCGGTTAATGGTCACGGTGTAGATTCTGTGACCGCGGTGAAGATAGCTTCAACGGTGTTGTTAACATCTGCAACGGGTTTCGCTGCCTTGATGAGCAAGATTCAACCTTCGCAGCTAGCTGAAGAACAGAGGAACGCGACGAGGCTGTTCAAGAAGCTGAGAGTCGAAATCGAAAAGTTTCTGAGAGAAAACGAGGAGATCGAAGAAGAAGATGTGAAGGAAGCGATAAAGAAAGTGTTGTCTCTAGACAAAGCTTACCCTCTTCCTCTGATCGGAACAATGCTTGAGAAGTTTCCGGAAGAGTTCAAACCGGCGACTTGGTGGCCTGAAAACAAAAGGGAAAACCCTAAAAGCGTTCTTGCGAATGGGTGGAGCCAAGAGCTCCAGACCGAGATGAGAGAAGTTGCTCGTGTGGTGAAGAGCAGAGACGCAGAAGAGTATGAGAAATTAGGTAACGTGGCGTTGAAGCTAAACCGGTTCTTGGCTATCTCTGGACCAGTTTTAACCGGAGTTTCTGCTGTAAGCTCTGTTTTCATCGGTCAAGATTCCGGTTTAGCTGGAATCGTGGCAATGACTTGTGCTTCTTTGGCTGCGGTTGTCAACACTTTAGAACATGGTGGTCAAGTGGGAATGGTGTTTGAGATGTATAGAAACTCAGCTGGATTCTTCTCTCTATTAGAAGAAACGATGAAATCGACAGAGAAGAGAGAGAACGGACAAGTGTTTGAGACAAGAGTTGCGGTGAAGCTAGGGAGAAGCTTATCGGAACTGAGAGATCTCGCGAAAAGATCGAATCTCTCTCAGGTTGAGGCTAATGAATTCGCAAGCAAGCTTTTCTAGTTTTTGTTATAGACAACATTCTTCATTCTTTTTTTTGTATAGGTGAATTTATTCATTCATATATTCTTTTATTTATTTGTTACTCACAAATTTTATTAACAAATTTATTTTTAGTTTTACAAAGAGATTTGTCTTTTGATCGAAACTTCAAACGAGAATATGAATGAAACATGAATCTTTGTCCTGATCTTGAGCATAAGTTGTAATAAGAGTTGGCCTTTTTTAAAACCCACCGAAATGATCTAACTCAATCCAATAGAAACGATCGGTTCAAAACAAAAACGAAATTATTCAACCAAATCTAATTTTAAACCGATTAGGGTAAAAAAGTAACACTAGAAAAAGCCGAACCAAATCGAATTTTTAATTCAGTTTATTAAACCGAAATTCGCAACATACTGTATCCTCAATAAGAATTTAATGTATACTCCCTCCGTTCTTTTATAAGTGATGTTTTAGGATAATGCACATCGAATAAAAAATCATTTAATTTTTGTTTAATTCTAAACTAAAACATCATTTATTATCTAATCAACCAATTAAAAAACAATCTACAGAATATAAATCATCAAAACCAATAAAAAGTAATTAGTTTTGCATTGAAAACTGAAAACATCATCTATTTAAGAACAAAATTAGAAGTTTAAAACATCACTTATTAAAGAACGGAGAGAGTACTAAAGATTAAATTTAATGAATTAAAAATAATTATTTACTTAAACTAAATTCGGTTATGATTCGGTGACAATGTTTCCATACCAAAGTAAACCGAATTATCCGAATATCCACCCCAAACAAGTTCATAGGAACATTGTTTCTTGTGTCTTACGCTATCCAAGGCTGCAGTAATTAACCAGTAACTGTTGTGAAATTGTTGCGAAATGTAGGTGAGGTCTGAAAAAATGGAAGATTCACCGGGGATTCAACACCGTAATCGAGACCTCATCCACAGAAAATGGATCCTTGTCTTTAAGCTTATTCATGGATCCATTTGCAGGTTTCACCGAGAGAGGGAGAGTGACGAAAGCAGCTTCGGTAGGTTTAGGTATATTAAAGGTACCGTCTCTCGCAAGCCAAGCTATTACAGAGTTCATGGTTGGTCTCTTTGCTGCATTCTCTTGAACACACAACAAACCAATCTCGATTAACTTTATGATCTCGTTTCTCGGATTCTCGTTTAAGTAAGGATCGATTATACTCTCAAGCTCTCCTTCTATCCATCTCTTCCATGCCTGAATCAAAAGGAAAAGTTCTTTATAAGTTTTGTTTCTAAAAATTGATAAATAAAATGTGATTAAGAAGCTTACAAAAGCTGGAAGTCCTTCTGTTTCAAAATTCTTATTTTTTTCACCACTTATCATCTCCAAAAGCATAACACCGAAGCTATAAACATCAGATTTAGCTGAGAATTGTCCATGTCTCACGTACTCCGGAGCCATATATCCGCTGCATAAAAAAAATCACATTAGTGGTAATTCTGATCCCAAGAATCTATGAATTTTCTGTTTCAAAAAACAGAGGATCTATGTCTTGTCTGAACTAAAAAACAGAGTATCCATGTCTAAAACAGAGCATACTTACTAGGTTCCAACTACTCTGCTAGTCTCTCCTCGAGTCTCATCCATGTTAAACAACCTCGCCATCCCAAAGTCTGCAACTTTAGGGTTCATCTCCGCGTCTAAAAGGATATTGCTTGCCTTCAAGTCTCTGTGAATAATCCTCAACTGAGAATCTTCATGGAGATAAAGAAGCCCTCTTGCAACTCCTTCTATGATTCTGTACCTCACATCCCATGTAAGAAGCCATCGCTTATCTTCATCTGCAGATTTTTTAAAGAAAATGTTTTACTTTTCTTTATTGAAAGTGTTATAACTAGAGATGCAGCGGTATCGCGTAAGGCTTACCGAAGATAAAGTGATCAAGACTTGAATTGGGAACATGCTCGTAAACAAGAATCTCCTCGTTTCCTTCATTGCAGAATCCAAGAAGCTTAACTAGATTCCTATGTTGGAGTCTTGTCAAGAGTAAGACTTCATTCTTAAACTCTAGTTCTCCTTGTCCTGAACCTCCAGCTAATCTCTTTACCGCTATCTCTTGCCCACTCGGTAATATCCCCTGAAACCGGTATAAAGATCACTAACCGATTTAAAGATTTTGATAAAGACTTTACAAGTTTTGATGAAATTTCTTACCTTGTAGACAGATCCAAATCCACCTTGTCCAAGCTTATTTTCAGGGGAGAACTCATCGGTTGCAATTAAGATCATGCCAAGATCAAATCTTAACGTAGATTGACCATCAGAATCAGAATTCTCTGCACATATTTAAAAGCTTTTTCTTTCAAAATAGCACTCCATAACTTTCCAAACATTTACTCAAAATTCTTGAAATTATTATACTCACTATTGATTTCAGCATAAATCCTCCTCCGCATCCGGCGATAAGCAAGCACGAAAGCAACAAACACGGCAAGATTTATGACCGTAGGAAAAACAATAACCACAACGCTCCATGGTTGAAAAATTCTTCCTGAAGAAAAGGTCAAGTTTTATATATGAATACGAAGTCAATTCAAGATTTCAGCAAGAAGATAATCCATTCTAGTGTACCTTTCTTGTCCCGAGAATCTTCTCGAGGTTGAGGAGGTCGAGGAGGCGCGGGAACTCTCTCTAGATTATCGAAAGCTCCTGCGAATTTGTATGAATCCCATCGGAAATAACAACTAGGACGCGCAACCGTTCCCCCAACTCTGTCCCAGTTATGTTCTTGATTATACCTAACATTCTCTCTTAGGCAATGATTACAGTCACTAGAAGATAAATCAGGTGTGCATTGCATCAACATATTAACCTCAGGAGTGTCTGTAAACTCTGCACTCGAGACTCCATAGTACTTGAATACCGAAGACTCATCAGCCGTGGATGCAACCTCAACAGTTCGATTAGCCATGGCGGCAAACTCTTGGCTGATTCGGGTCAGATTGGAAGAGGTGAGAAGACCCGAGTGAGGAACATTCCCAATTGGCTCAAGCTTTAGTTTGCCAAATGTATGGATATTTGAGTAGCGTACTAGACAAGAAACGTTTGCATCGTTTTCGGAATCCCAGTGATATGCTTCTGTTTTGCCTTGGCATTGTGTTAATAGAGTCCTACTTGCTCTATCAACGCAGCGACGACAAGCTTGTACTTCGTAGTGTTTTCGACAAAGGGCAAGAGCGTGGACTCCGTCTAGCGAAGCGTTGTAGAAACCGCGTTCTCTTGTAACGTTTGAAGCAAGAGAAGACAAGAGAGCATCAAGGTTTTCGCGGTAGGTTTTGTTTGGAGAGAAGTCTTCGTCGCCGCAGACGAAGGTGGTGTGAACGCCATTGATGTTGAAGAGAAGAAATAAGAGAAGAAAACAAGGGAAGTGGAAAAGAAGGGATGTTTCCATCTATATGAACAATTAACGTTTCATTATTAAAACCTTTAGTTTGGCTTTAAATAAACAGATTTTGATTTGTAAACTTTCTCTTGGGGAATGAGGATCAAACACGAAGAGACTTTTCTATCATCATGTCGTTTTCACAAGTGAAAACCCTTTTAGAAACCCTGACTTTTTATGGTGACGTAAAGAGCAAGGCAAAAAGACTTTTCTTCCTTCAATTTCCCTTACGTAAACAATACGTCGAACACGTCGTTGTCCTTATGCCTTAAGTGGCATGTAAATGTCTTCGATAATAACATTGGAAAGAACGACGTCGTTTCTGGTTACAAACAATATAGAAATGACAAGAGGATATGAATCGAGTCAAGGCCTAGTACGGGTTTCATACATTGTCAAGTATCAAAGGACTATGAAAGTCAAAAAATATGACCAAAATGGTTTCATGACTCATTAAAATTTCACGTTTACCAATTGCGTCGAAGACTAGATCACCATATACGGTGATGCAAAAACATTCAAAAAAATGAAACATGAAATTATAGGAAAACAACGAAGATATCTATTAGATGGCTTATGGATAGTCATCACAATTTCTCTTATTTAGTTTTTGATTATCAATTTATTAAAAAAAGTCACCTTGCATTAGAATTTATTAAGAAACAACTTTAGCTAGATCACCTTTAATTAATTTACACTAGTCGATGATGCTCTGTTCATCCCACGCGTATCTAACTCTCACCGTGAACAAAAGAAAGGATATCTTCTACTTCCAATATATTATTGTAACAAGCACCATTAAATTTTTTAAAAATGCTTCCACACCTAGTCAAGCTACTATCTTCCATGTCAACTAGTACCCATTTCTCACGTCATATAACGTGTTATAAATTAATCTCTCCTACTATGAAGTAAGATGAGATAAAGATTAAGAAAAATAAACCATTTTAGCAACCTTATCAATTTGTGTAAATGGGAAAGAGTGGTGTTGTGACTAGTTCCCTCTCGCTTCTCCTTTTCTTCCTTCAAACCCTAAAATATGTTCATGCCGGTTCCATCTGCTACGGCGACTTTTTTAATGTTAACTACGGCGTCAGTCGAAACTATCTCTTCTCTTCTCTTCCTTCTAACGTCGTTGATAACGGCGGTTTCTACAACGCATCGTTTGGCAGAGATTCCAAAAACAACAGAGTCCACGTTGTTGCCTTATGCAGACGAGGCTACGAGGAGCAAGCTTGTAAGACATGTCTCGAACATGTGATTGAAGACACAAAAGCCAAGTGTCCTCGCCAAAAAGAGTCATTCTCGTGGGTCACTGATGAATTCGACGACGTTTCTTGCTCTCTACGTTACACCAACCACTCAACTCTTGGCAAACTCGAGCTCTTACCAAGTACTATTAACCCTAATCCAAACAGTATAGATTCCAAATTCAACAACATGACCATGTTCAGCCAAGAATGGATTGCAATGGTTAACCGGACGCTCGAGGCTGCTTCTACCGTTGAGACTTCCTCAGTTCTTAAGTACTATAGTGCCACAAGAACAGAGTTCACACAAATTTCAGATGTTTATGCGTTGATGCAATGCGTGCCTGATTTATCGCCAGGCAACTGCAAGAGATGTCTTAGAGAGTGTGTGAATGACTTTCAGAAGCAGTATTGGGGAAGACAAGGAGGTGGGATTAGCCGGCCTAGCTGTTATTTCCGGTGGGATCTTTATCCTTTCTATAGAGCTTTTGAAAATGTTACGAGAGTTCCTGCTCCTCCTCCACAAGCTTCTTCGACTATTCTCGATTACGGGAGAGACAAGCAAAGTTTTCAAGGAAGCAACATAGCAATTATTGTGGTGCCTACAGTCATCAATCTCTTCATATTTGTGGTTCTAATATTTTCTTGGAAGAGAAGAAAGCCATCACACACCGGAATCAATGGTAAAGTCTTTTAAAAGAAACTACATATTAAGTTTCACTCAAAACCAACTGGTATTGAGTGGATTGATTTTCAGAAAAAGCAATAACCGATCAAAATGAACATGTTTTGTGATGACGTGCAGAGGCTCTTGATGGTCAATCTATGTTACGTTTTGATCTTCGAATGATTCTAACTGCAACCAATAACTTCTCTCTAGAAAATAAGCTTGGCCAAGGTGGATTTGGATCTGTCTACAAGGTAAAGAAACTAGTAAGAGTCCTAACAAAATCTTTAGATGGGTCAGTGACCTTAATTATAGCATGAGAATCCGTTTTCAGGGAATATTACCGAGCGGACAAGAGATAGCGGTAAAGAGATTAACAAAAGGTTCAGGGCAAGGAGGTATGGAGTTCAAGAACGAGGTCTTACTCTTGACAAGACTCCAACATAGGAATCTGGTTAAGCTTCTTGGGTTTTGTAATGAAAAAGATGAAGAAATTCTTGTCTACGAATTCGTCCCTAATTCAAGCCTCGACCACTTCATATTCGGTGAGCCTTCGCGAGATCCGTGCTTCTTTGTTACAATACTTTTAGCAAAGAAGAAAAAAAAAACTGTTTGTTTGAGATTTGCAGATGAAGAAAAACGCCGGCTTCTGACATGGGATGTGAGGTACAGAATCATAGAAGGAGTTGCAAGAGGGCTTCTTTATCTCCATGAAGATTCTCAGTTGAGGATTATTCACAGAGATTTGAAGGCAAGCAATATCCTTTTAGACGCGGAGATGAACCCTAAGGTTGCAGACTTTGGGATGGCAAGGCTGTTCGATATGGACGAGACTCGAGGACAGACAAGCAGAGTGGTTGGAACATAGTAAGTAAGCTCTGTTTTTTTATTTAAGATTCTTTGATCAGCATCATCATTAATATGATTTGGTTAATGCAGTGGATATATGGCTCCAGAATACGCGACATATGGACAATTCTCAGCTAAATCTGATGTTTATAGCTTTGGTGTCATGCTTCTAGAGATGATAAGTGGTAAAAGCAATAAAAATTTGGAAAAAGAAGAAGAGGAAGAAGAAGAGCTTCCAGCTTTTGTAAGCTTCTCACTTATATCGATCATCTTTATTCTTCGTCTTCTTCATCTTCTTATCGAACTTTTATAAATTATTTACAGGTGTGGAAGAGGTGGCTTGAAGGAAGATTTGCAGAGATCATTGATCCTTTGGCTGTTCTGAGTAACAATATCTCAATGAACCAAGTAATGAAGCTCATCCACATAGGTTTGTTGTGTATTCAAGAAAATGTTTCCAAAAGACCTAGCATTAATTCAATCCTCTTTTGGCTTGAAAGACACGCTACTACCACAATGCCTGTGCCCACGCCTGTTGCTTATCTTACGCGACCATCACCATCGCAATCATCATCACTGTGCCGCTAATGAACCATCATGCCTGTACGTTTTATATCTCTTTGTGACTTTGTCTCTCTCTGTACAATCAATGAGATATGTAAAGAGATGCCGTGTAATGTAAGCAAACTTATGTTTGATTCGCGCTAAACTTATTTATATAAACTGAATATTTGATTCTCGCTAAAATAGTATCCCTAGTAGTGGAAGAGTCAAATCATTGAGCTTCAAGAAATACTAGAATAAGCTCAAATAAAGAAAGACATTCCTATAGAGGAAATTCTTGATATCAAGAGCATGTTACTAAATGCGTATCATGAGGATGTTTTCTGGAGACATAAAAAATAGGAATGTTTGGCCTCAATAAGGTGATCGACATACTAAATTTTCTCACTATGCCTCAAAAAGATCATAGAGTGGGGAATGTAATCAGCCTTTTGGATTATGATGGAAATTGGACAGAAACGGAGGAATGCATAGAGGAAGTTGCAGTCCAATTTCTATGAAAGTTCACACGAGCAAAAAAAAAACTTTTATCTAATGTAAAACTTTTATTTGACTTCAGAAAGAAAGGAATTTGAACAAAGAGGCACATTGTTAAACTTACATTTAAGGCTCGGACATTTAACAAGAATGCTCAAGTAAATATCATTTGACATTATTTTTTTTGTATTTACAGTAAAGCTTTCTTTTGCATTTCTTAATATAAAATATTCTCTATATTTAAAACCAATTTACTATATACTAATTATTTTAATATTACAAATACCGAATTTTTTAATAAAATCATATATAAAGCTATATTGGACGATCGATGGTGGGTGTTCATGAAATTGATCATTTTTCCACTATATCAAACCTTTTCTGCAAATTTAAGAATGACAAACTGTCCAAAATTACTTTCAGAGACTATCATTACGAGTTTCTCAGAAATTAACAATTTATACAATTTTCACTTCTCTTTTTCTTTCTGAATTGTCATATTCTTTATACAGTAAGCATAACTCTGTAGACCTAGCAAAGGAAGACTTTTTTGGTCATGCATGCGACCAAAAACAAAGTACTTACATAACCATATTTTTTTTAGTTTTTTTTTGAAGAAAAACATAACCATATTGAATGGACAATATTTTCAATACTTCTAGAGAAGAGAAAGAAACCCTTAGTTCATATGAAGTGATTAAGAAATGTTTACCCTTTCTCTACGGCTATTTGAATTTGAATAGCCATCTTTGAAGTCAACCACTGCTCAAATTTTTTTCATGTGTAGTCGACCAAACCCAATCTCTCTCATGTACACCTAATTATACAAATATATATATATATATAACATTCATTCCCTCATTAACAAAAAAAAAATAACAATGAACAAAACCCTAAACTCTATTTCTTAACAATAATAATGAAGAACTCTGCTGCGATTTTCCTCACTTCTTCCATTATTCTTCTCCTTCAAACCCTCCACGGCGTTAAAGCCGGTTTCGTCTGCGTAGGCAGCTCCTTCCCCACCAACAGTAGCTACCACGAAAACCGCGACTCTCTCTTCTCTACTCTTTCTGATAAAGTCACCACAAACGGTGGATTCTACAATGCTTCACTCGATGGAGTTCACGTTCTTGGCCTCTGTAGAAGAGACTACGAGCGGCAAGGTTGTATCAACTGCGTCGAAAAATCCATTCGACAGATTAAAAGAAGTTGTTCTAACCGTGTTGAATCGTACCATTGGAACAGTGATGATGGAGAGCGTGTTTCTTGTCTTGTACGTACCACGAATCGATCAACTTATCGGATACTCGAGCTTGGACCAGCTACAAATGACCCGAATCCTGTTGTTATCGACACATCCGCTAAGAACATGACTCTTTTCCGCCAAGAATGGGAAGCAATGGTTGACCGGACGCTCGAGGCTGTAACCATTGACACTTCCACAACGGTTCTCAAGCATTACGGTGCTGTCAAAGCAGAGTTCACTGAGTTTCCAAATGTTTATATGATGATGCAATGCACACCGGACATAACTTCAGGCGCGTGCAAGAGATGTTTGCAAGAGTCCGTTACGTATTTTAGAGACCAGAGTTGGGGCAGACAAGGAGGCGGGATTTGTCGACCGAGCTGTGTTTTCCGCTGGGATCTTTATGCCTTTTACGGTGCTTTTGCTAATGTAACAAGAATTCCTGCGCCTCCTCGAGCTTTGATTCCTCGAGCAGAAGCAATCTCCATCACTCGCTTGAAAGGTGTGATAACAAATGAGTTGATTAACATTGTTACCTATGAAATTATCTGAGATTCGCATACAAATATAAATAAGCTACTCTTGCAGGAGGAATTATCGCGATATTTGTGGTTCCTATCGTCATTAATCTTCTCGTGTTTATCGGTCTGATCAGAGCTTATAGTCGGATAAGAAAATCGAACAAACAGTTCAATGGTATGATGTCATGCTTTTCAATAAAACTTTGTGATGCATTATTGCTCATTGGTTGTTTTTTTTGGTATGTGCAGAGCAGCAATATAATTCTGGTGGTCAATCTACGCTACGGTTCGATTTTAGTATGATCCTAATCGCAACGGATGATTTCTCCTTTGAAAATAAGATTGGCCAAGGTGGATTTGGATCTGTCTACAAGGTAAGTAAACTTGAGAAAAAATACTATCAAAATCTTTAGATGGATAACCGATCTTATAGCATGAGAATCGGTTCGCAGGGGAAATTACCGGGAGGGCAAGAGATAGCGGTAAAGAGATTAACAAGAGGCTCAGGACAAGGAGAAATAGAGTTTAGAAACGAGGTCTTACTCTTGACAAGACTCCAACATAGGAATCTAGTTAAGCTTCTTGGATTTTGTAATGAAGGAGATGAAGAGGTTCTTGTTTACGAGTTTGTCCCCAATTCTAGCCTCGACCACTTCATATTTGGTGAGCCTTTTTACTTAGATGCATGTGTGAAAATTTTTGAATGTTCTGAGTGGTACTTGGGAGGAGACCATATAAAATGCTCTCGTCCCTGGCCTGCGGGATGTACATAACCATTCAAAAAAATAAAAATACACATTTTGAATGTTTAGTATTGACGGTTCTTTGGAAATCTGCAGATGAAGAGAAGCGTTTGCTACTAACGTGGGACATGAGGTCCAGAATTATAGAAGGCGTTGCGCGAGGTCTTGTTTATTTACACGAAGATTCTCAGCTAAGGATTATTCACCGAGACTTGAAGGCAAGCAATATCCTTTTAGATGCATATATGAACCCTAAAGTTGCAGACTTTGGGATGGCGAGGTTGTTCAACATGGACCAGACTAGAGCAGTGACAAGAAAAGTAGTTGGAACCTTGTAAGTATGCTCTGTTACGGACATAGATGCGACAATGATGCTCTGTTTTTACAGATTCTTTTAGACAAAACAAGATACTCTGATTTTTTTTTACCCCAAATTTCCAAGATTCTTGGAATCAGCATCACAACTAATTTGATTTTGGTTTAGTGGCTATATGGCTCCTGAGTACGTTAGGAACAGAACATTTTCAGTCAAGACAGACGTATACAGTTTCGGAGTCGTGCTTCTCGAGATGATAACTGGTCGAAGTAACAAGAACTATTTCGAAGCCCTAGGGCTCCCTGCATATGTAAGCATAATCCAGTCTTGTTTACTACTTTAGACCCAAATGAATCTCAAAAGATATTGAGTAGAAATTTATGGTGATAATATATAGGCATGGAAGTGTTGGGTTGCGGGCGAGGCAGCGAGCATCATCGATCATGTACTCAGTAGGAGCCGAAGAAACGAAATCATGAGATTCATCCACATTGGTTTGTTGTGTGTTCAAGAGAATGTTGCAAAAAGACCAACCATGAGTTTGGTTATTCAATGGCTTGGAAGTGAGACTATCACCATTCCTTTACCTACAGCTGCTGGTTTCACCGATGCATCGAACCAAGCCGAAGATGAAGCTGGTACATTATCACTAAATGAGCTCTCAATCACCGAGTTAAGTCCTCGTTGAAACCAAGATCTCTCTGTCAACTCTTACATCTAAGTGTTATGCGGAAAGAGAGATAAAGTGTATTTCCAGGTCAAAGAGTGGATAAATTCATCTAATACACAAAACAAATCAAAGGGAAACATCAGGAAAAATTACTATTCCACCATATAAACATTGCATAATACATGTATCTAAAAACCCGATATCTTATTTGTTAAGTTAAATGGACTTTCAACTCAAAACCAACTAGCAATAAGTGGATTGGTGCATGTTTTTTATCTACTACTCAAGTCTTTCTTCTATGTTTCTAATATCTCCAATATAACATATTTTTCCACATTATTAGCTCTACAATGGATATGAAATATAACAATACTTCAGAATATTCGTTCTATGTCCACTTGAAAGTGAAGAGTCTTTGTCTTCCATGATACTCCCACGCTTCTTCCTTATATTGTTACTTGTTAGCCCTTGAAGGGTAGTTGGAACCTAAAAGTATGTATGCTCTAGTTTTAACATATTAATTTAAATTTAATATTATTCATTATTAATCAGGGAATAATGTAAGAACTTTGTACTCTTACTTGGCCACCGTTGCCAACTACGACCAAAGATTGATAAGATTTCTAATTTGCTACTTGACAAAAAAGAAAGGCTACTTGAAAATCGCTAATTTTTTTTTTTACTCACTAGTCACTATCAATAATTTGTAAATTTGCAATTGCTTTCCAAAGTTAGGTTTTGTGGGTAAATGTCTTTTTGATAGTAATAAACATTCTCAATTTACTACAATCAATTATACTATAGTTGTTTCACAAATGAAAAATTGTCATATGGGCTCGATAACATATCATACTACTTTTTTTTTGTTAATATCATACTACTTTATGTTACGTATTCAATTATATCCTAAGCTCTACAAAGAAAACCCAAATACAAATAATAAAATTTGATCATTGACATCTCTGAATAACATATATATACAGTAAAACCTCTATAAATTAATAATGTTGGGACCATGAAATTTTATTAATTTAGAGAGGTATTAATTTATCGATAAATTAATAATTATCAATTTAGAGAGATTTAGAGAGAGATTTTACTAGCTTTGTAATTTCTTAAAAAAATTCTATCTAAAAATAATTTTTTCTTTATAAGCAATATCTTTTAAAAACCAATTACAAGTAGAGAGTAATTATTAAGTTTAAAAATCAACACAAACTTTTTCGAATAATAGAGTCATACTTCATTATATATTTTACATATAATATTTTAAATATATATCATAGTAATTCATATATGATATAGATAAATTTATATCATATATATATATATATATTAAGTTAGAAGAATTTATTCATTTAAAAAGGTTATTAATTTATAATATATATATATATATATATATATATATATATATATTTATTGATATTGGACTTGGACATAAGAAAAACATGTGTTGGCAAAACCTACGCGTATGTCCGGGTACTTTCCTAGTACTAATTAAATTGACCAATACACATTTTGTCAAGTCAAGAAGTACTCGTTTTCTCAAGTCACTTTATCATATACAAAAGCTCTATAGATTATCCTCTTTTCAATAAACGAAGCAGAACAAGATAAATAACCAAAAAAAAAACTCATTGATAAAAAAGATATGGGGAAATACTCTGTTTTGATGATCTTAATCGCTTCTTTTCTTCTTCTTGTCCTTCAAAACGTCGAAATTGTTAACGCCGTCGGATGTACCGGAAGCTTCTTCAATGGTAACAGCAGCTACGCTCAGAATCGCCGTGAACTCTTCTCTACTCTTGCTGATAAAGTCGTCACCAACGGTGGCTTCTACAATGCTTCACTCGGCAAAAGTCCCAACAGAGTTCACGCTGTTGCCCTCTGCGGAAGAGGATACGAGCAACAAGCTTGTATCAGTTGTGTCGAAAGTGCGATTCGGGGTATACTAACGACAACAAGTTGTCTAAACCGCGTGGATTCATTCACGTGGGACAAAGACGAGGAAGACAACGTTTCTTGTCTTGTAAGTACCTCAAACCACTCTACTTTTGGGAACCTCGAGCTTAGACCTTCTGTTAGATACCAAAGTCCAAATAGTATCGAGCCATCGAAAAACATGACCCTTTTTGAACAAGAATGGAATGCAATGGCTAATCGGACCCTCGAGTCTGCAAAAGAAGCTGAAACTTCCTCGGTACTTAAGTACTATAGTGCCGAAAAAGCCGAGTTCACAGAGTTTCCAAATGTTTACATGCTGATGCAATGCACACCAGACATAACTTCCCAAGATTGCAAGACATGTCTTGGAGAATGTGTGACGCTTTTTAAAGAACAGGTTTGGGGAAAACAAGGAGGCGAGGTTTATCGTCCGAGCTGTTTTTTCAGGTGGGATCTATATGCTTTCCATGGTGCTTTTGATAATGTAACAAGAGTTTCTGCGCCTCCTCGACCTCAAGCTCAGGGAAAAGAGAGCTCTATAACAGAAAAGAAAGGTAAAACATCTGATGTGGACATTGATTTGAGTCTTATTTAAATTTGTAAGTATGATAAAGAGGTTCTTAGGCTAAAAGGTGTTTTGATGATTTGCAGGAAGAAGCATTGGATATCGTGGAATTATCGCAATAATTGTGGTTCTTACTTTCATTAATCTTTTGGTGTTTATTGGCTATATCAAAGTCTATGGACGGAAGAAAGAATCATACAACAAAATCAATGGTAAGTGTTCAAAGGCCTTTTTCTTGCTTCAATAAAATCAGTTGAATAAATTTTATGTAGTGACAAAGTCATTTTTCTTTTTTTTTGTATATTTAGTTGGTAGTGCAGAGTACTCTGATTCTGATGGTCAATTTATGTTAAGGTTTGATATTGGTATGATCTTAATGGCAACTAATGACTTCTCGTCTGAAAACACGCTTGGCCAAGGTGGATTTGGTACGGTCTATAAGGTAGTAATAATAATGAGTTATGGATTGATCTTGATCTTGGATGAATAACAAATCTTGAGAACCGGTTTCAGGGGAAATTACTAAATGGGCAAGAGATAGCGGTGAAGAGACTAACAAAAGGTTCAGGACAAGGAGATATAGAGTTCAAGAATGAGGTTTCACTATTGACAAGACTCCAACATAGGAATCTAGTTAAGCTTCTTGGGTTCTGTAATGACGGAGATGAACAGATTCTTGTCTACGAGTTTGTCCCCAACTCAAGTCTTGATCACTTTATCTTCGGTGAGCTTTTGAAACACAGCTGCCATTTTGGATATTTTGGAAACTTTTAGCATAGCATGAATATGTTTCTTTGAACTCTGTAGATGAAGAGAAGCGTTCACTTCTTACATGGGAGATGAGATGCAGAATTATAGAAGGCATTGCTCGAGGTCTTCTTTATCTTCATGAAGATTCTCAGCTAAAGATTATTCACCGAGACTTGAAGGCAAGTAACATCCTTTTAGATGCAGAGATGAATCCTAAAGTTTCAGATTTTGGGACAGCGAGGTTGTTCGACTCCGATGAGACCCGAGCTGAAACAAAAAGAATAGCTGGAACCCGGTAAAAAATATTTTAATCAAATTTGAAGACACATTTAAATGCTCTGTTTTTTAAAAAACAGAGTCCATGAATTAATGTTATTGGTTTGCATTGCATATATGCAGTGGATATATGGCTCCCGAGTACTTGAATCATGGGCAAATCTCAGCTAAATCTGACGTTTATAGCTTCGGTGTTATGCTTCTCGAGATGATAAATGGTGAAAGAAACAATAGCTTCGAAGGAGAAGGACTTGCAGCTTTTGTAAGCTTCTTCACATATCAGTCTTTGCTCAATTTTTGTTTTTCTAATCTTCAAAACTCTATTCAGAAAGTAAGAGCATTATCTATTTTCTTGGTGTAGGCATGGAAAAGATGGGTTGAAGGAAAGCCTGAGATTGTAATTGATCCTTTCTTGATAGAGAATCCAAGAAACGAGATCATCAAGTTGATTCAAATTGGTTTGTTGTGTGTTCAAGAGAATCCAACAAAGAGACCAACCATGAGCTCTGTAATAATTTGGCTTGGCAGTGAGACTATCATCATTCCTTTACCTAAAGCTCCTGCTTTCACTGGAAGTCAATCCCAATCTGAAAATGGTATAATGTCAATGAGCGACGATGTCTTCACAGAGTTGAGTTGTCGTTGAGTTCATTTTGCTAATTCAAATGTTGTTTTAAGGTATAATTGTTGTATATATCATCTAATAGAAATACGTTTAGATATTTTGAGTGAATGTAAGGAGATTGAAAAATTGTATGAATTATTTCTACATTTTTGTTTTAAAACTTTTTTGACCAATACTAATTAATATTATAGAGGAAATAAAATAACATAAAATTAAAATGTTGCACAGATAAATATGATTTAAAAATAAATAGCTGAAAATATCTTTATAACCCCCAATAGAGTGAGGATAAGAAATCTTTTCTGCCCAATTAGATGAAGTAACAATTCCTGATTTTGGTTAACTCTATTCTTATATAACTTACTCTGAATATAAATATAAAGAAGATTTTTTTTCTTTTTGTTAAAAAATATAATATAAGAAATTTTTCTGAGTATTTTCACATTAATTCCTAAACAGGAATATATCACGTACTTTATATAGTTCTCCTCTCTAATATATTTCTTCTAAATATATACCTAAACAACCAAAAAAATTAAAAGGTGATTTCAATTTTATTTGACCAATAGCATGAAGATAAGAAATCTTTTCTGACCAACCAGATAAAGTATCAATTCCTGATTTCAGCTACTCTACTTAATTCATATATTACTCTGAACAGAAGAAATATAAGGAAGATTTTTTTCCTTTTTGTTAAAAAATACAATATAAAGAATTTTCATGAGTATTTTCACATTAATTCTCAAAAAATGAATATATCTATGTACCTAATATAGTTCTTCCTAACATATTTCTTCTAAATATACACCTTAACAAAACCTAGTGCAACTGAATATTTTCATAGTTGTTTTCAATTTTATATCAGACCAAACAAAATATGTTCTACTACATCATTTTTTTGGGGCAAATGTTCTACTACATCTAAATACCTCTTTATGTGACTTATTTGTGCTTCCAAAAAACCTTGTTTGTTTTACGTTTGTACCATTTTATGACTGGTACATATTATTTAATAGTGTTTCTCATACCCGCATATCCACTTTTCTTATATCAGCAATATATAAATTCTTAGCAAAACAAATATTAGCAATATATTGAGAACTTACAAAAACTATTTAAATGGATTTCTAAATATATTTTTACTAGTGAAATAGAAATATTTTATATAAATAATCTTTCACCCATATGGATGAAAAATCACATTAAAACATAAACCAACTACCATAATATATTGTTCGGTTTTTATTTTTTTTATCCCATTATGTATATGGGATAAGCATTACATAATATAAAGATCAAGCATAAAAAAAATGATAGAAACCAAAGTCTTCTTAGTACTTGTGACCAAGAGTGAGTTCAAGAGATAATTCTTCTTCACCAATTGCACTACCACCAGCAACAACGACATCATTGTTTCTGTTTTCATTAAGTCTCTCCTGCAGAAAATGTACATTTATCTAATTTCATATGCATCAAATCTACATGTTGATGATCATGCATGATAGTAATGTAAGAAATACAAAAGGAAAAAAAGAACGAAGAAAAATTACTCTTGCAAATTGATAGAGAAACTTGTTACTTGATCCCAAAACTGGGGTTATCTTCTCAATAATATCCAATTGTGGTCTACAAAAAAATTGAAAAAGAAATTGCTTTACTGATAATAAAAAAATGATTATATGTAACCCTAAGATAATACATGAACAAAAGAACCTTTGTTGATTCTGCATAAATTGGGTAGCATCTCGAGCACGTTCGTAGATCTGAAGGTATTGTCGAGATTGCCTCTGGTTCATTTCTCGCATCATTCTCCTTTCTGCCAAAAGATTGCACATGCATAATTATGAATAAAAAAAGATATAAACTCACTATGCATTATGTTGCACATCAAAATATTTCCCTATGCAAAATTTCACTACAAACATAATTATTTAACTTTAAATTAAAGTGTAAGATAGTTACTTATACCTTTTATAAATTCTTCTTTCTTCTTTTTTCTATACATCTATGGAAAGTAAACAAATATATTTAATTCATTACATACCATCTTAGATAATATAATTTATGACACATGTGTTATATATAGACGTATCTTATATAACTAGCTGATAATATGTGTATAAATTATAAAGACCTGGAGATGGCTTTTCACATGTGATATTGTGAGGTTTCTCACATCCATACAGTTCAAAATTGGCTTAGGAGTTGCCTCTGCAAATTTAAGGAGAAATTTTTGATATCGATTATAGTGAATCTAAAAAATGCTATAAAGAAAATTCTAATCATGTGTAAAATATAATAATCAAAAAAATTGAGAGAGAGGATGTATCTTAAAGGAAAAAACAGGAGATTGTTGATTTTAATGGCAAAAATTTTGATTTCTCTGAATTTTTTCAGAGGAATCGTCTTTGTGTTAATTTTGCGATATGGAAAGAAAACCGCTTACTCCTTTCGCCACCAAGTAATTCAACAACTTGAGTAAAAAGGAGGTCAAGATCGTCTGTCCAACGCATAGGCGGCACTTTTGACCTAATGTAAGATCTAACGATCGGTTTTTTCATTGTTTTTTTTTCTCTCGTGAAACTCTTAGTTTGATAATACTTTAAACTGCGTGCCAATTATTTATAGAAAAATTATATGGAAATATATTAATATATGTTTCCCAAAAATAACCTAAGAAGAAAATATTTAGTGTTAGTAAATTTTTTTTGTCACGTGTAATTTCTGATTTTACTATTTCTCTAAAATATAAATATAAAATTGCATTTTAAGAAATAATTATCTTTTGACAACCCCAAATTTTCTTTTCTCTAATAATAATATGTATAATAAATATTAAAATTAAAACTTAATACTACCAGATTTATTTTCTTTTTATTATAAAATTAAATCTATATATGCTGAATATGTATATAAACAAATAAAAGTTAATCCAAAACTAATTTATGACAAAAAGTCTTGTTTATTATCATCATTATGAACCAAGTGATATAAATAACTAAAAAAAACTATCCAAAAGAAAATATGAATTATATATTTTTTGAATTGAAATTAGAAAATTTAAACGAAGGTAACAATACAAATGAGTTTTAGAAAATGAATATGCGAGACGAAAATTGGATAAACCCAGCTAGTTTATGAGTTGATCTAACTCATTTGTTAAAGGGATCTATTCAACCCATAAACCTATAAAATAAATAATCATTTATTAATAATTAAATTAAAAGATAATTATTTATCAGTTTATCATCATTAGGAGTGTCAAAATGGATAAACCAACTCATAAACCAATGAGTTTACACTTAAATGGTTTATGAGTTGACCCAACTTATTTGTTAAATGGGTCAAGTGAACCTATAAAATCAATTAATTTGATGATTTAATGAGTTGACTCTAAATTAAATAATAACTAATATTATAATTTTGACATCATACACCATTGACATAAAATATAGATTCATGTTTTTGGTGTGAAAATTGTAAAATCGTTTTTAGCGAAAAATTTGTGAAACCGTGTTTTCAACGAAAAATTTTTTGATTCGCGTTTTTGGTAGAAAAGTTGTGGACTCGTGTTTTTAGTGGGAAAATTACGGAATTGCGTTTTAAGGAAAATTTGTGGAATCTATTTGTTGTTGAGAAAAAATGAAACCATTTTTTTTTTTACCAAAAAAATGTGGACTCGCGTTTTTAGCGGAAACATTACGGAATCGTGTTTTTTGCGGAAAAATTATGGAATTTAGTTTTTTAGCGAAAAACTCTAAAACTGTGTTTTAGCGGAAAAAGGATTCACGTTTCTAGTGGAAAATTTGTGAAATGGCGTTTTGGCGGGAAAATTGTGAAATCATGTTTTTGCAAAAAACAATTACGGAAGTGTTTTTGAATGAGAAAAATATGGTATGATGATGCTGATAATAATAGTATGAAGATAATTATGATGTAAAAATGATAATATAATGGGTTTATGGTTAACTATAAACCATTATAACCCAATGCATATGACTTACCATGTCATTGATCTATAACTTATTTGACTCATCAACTCATTAAGAACCAAATAGTAAAACCATTAGGGTTGATAAATTGGATTGAGTCAGGTCGATCCATGAATTTTGACACCCCTTATCATCATCAATGGCATAAAATATAGATTAAAATTTTTGGCAGATTAATTGTGATATTGCGTTTTGGTAGAAAAATTGTGAAAACCATGTGTTTTTGACGGAAAAATTGTGAAACTGTGTTTTGGTATGGCTATGATGATGACAGTAATGAAGATGTTGATGATAATGATGATGATGATGATGGTATGGCGATGATGATGATAGTAATGAAGATAATGATGATGTTAAGTATGATAATTTAATGGGTTAATGGTTAACCATAAACCATTACAACTTACCTCATATGACCCACTAATCCATTGACCCAATAATTTATTATAATCCACACAGTAAAACCATTACGGTTGATGAGCGGATCAGACTGAGTCGACCCATAAAGTTTTGACTTATTTTGATACCTCTATGTGCATGTAGTTAAATATTATCATAATATAATTAGATTAAATATATCTAATGATGATGTAAAAAATGAAAAAAAAAGTTTCTTTTAATAATTTTAAAACAACTACTTTTGAAAATTTTCATTGTATTTATTAATTTAACATATTGAAAAATCTTTTTATGTTAGTAATTTATTATCTTAAATAATATAGTAACGATCCTTTGTAAATTTCACCCAATATAAAATTCATTTATGAATTATATTTAAAAAATGTTGTGTTAATTAATATGTGGACCTATCATATGAGCTAAATTAACCTCAAGACTACTCTCTCAAATACGAGATCGTTGTAGCACTTAAGGGTCGAATCCCACAAAATTCTTTTGTTCACACAATAGATTATAAGTCTCGAAATCAAGCTAAACATAAATAGTTGTAAATTAAAAGTGGAGAAATCAATTTAAATTGAAGTAAATTCAGATGGAAAAAACGTTAGGCTCAGAGAACTTCTCAGGAAATATCAGATTTGCAGATCAGTTATTGCTAGGATTTTATTAAAGACCGTCCTAGAACTCAAATCACAGAATTAAAATCGACCAACTCTCGTTTTGAAGGTCTACTAAGCCTAAAATCTAGAATTCTAACTCTCGTTATGAATTCCTAAAATACCTAAAGCAAATCTCTTTGAGAATAGAGATTTTTGCTCACCTAAGATAGTTCAGGAAAAATCACCCTCTCGTGCTAATAAATCCTAATATCATATTCTAGTTAGCTACTCTAGAATAGGTTTTAAGAACAATCTTAGATGAAGAATTCTAGAAATATATCCTAACAGTTTATTAGATCTAACAATTCATCTAAATCCCTATGAAAATTCTTAACCCTAACAAACAAACTACTCATACATGACCATAGAAACAGAAAACATGTTTTGAATAGAAAGTATAAAAGAAATCAATAGCAAATAAGAGATTAGAAAGATCTTCTCTCTATAGGGATTGGATTTCTGAAAAACAAGTTATCTCTAATTATCTTCCAAAGGGTTCAAACTCTCAAAATCTAAAATTATTATTAAGTAAAAGATAATAAAAAAGATAGGTCTCAACAATGACTCAAAAATCTATTTATAAGTTCTTAAAAATGTTCAGGGACTAAATTGCAAATAGGGAAGTCTTGTGGGCGTTTCTGTAAAATTTCATAACTTGTTAAATCTTCGAGACTCTACTAGGCCGCGACTGGTATCGACCGACACCAAGGGAGTGTCGATTGACACTCACATCTTGATCTGGCTCCAGATTCGATTCTTCAGCTTAACTCTTCGTTTATCTCCAAATGCATCATAATCGTGTAAATACCTGAAAAGATTCAAAAATACTCTAGAAATAAATAAAAAAGACTCTAAATACCATACATATAACATGGTTAAAAACCGTTAAAAACATGATATATCAACCATTACATATTAGATATATGCCATATATTACGTTTTTAAAAAAAAAAAAAAAAAAGAAAGATGCTTAGGTTTGAGAAAAGTACATTTGGAAAAGAAATGTACGAGAGTCAAAGGAAATTAGATGTGGTTCGTTTATGCATCTAAATTGCAGATTACAAGATGTTCGTTAAATTACATTTAAACACATGAGTTTGATGCAATATATAACTCGATGCAATCATAACCCAAATCATGTTAGTTATATAGATATTTATACATATAATATTCTTTCACCAAGACAATGAAATAAAAATTTATCATTTCCCATCAAAACCTTCAAACTATGGAACTGCATTTTTCTGGTATAACCAGGAAGTTATAGAATTACGTTCTTCCAACAAAAAAAAGAAAAACAAATCCGTGAAATCACAATTTTATAAATTTCTCGCCAAAACTGCAATCTTAGAATTCTTTTTCAAAAAAAAAAACTGCAATCTTAGAATTATTTTTTTTATCAAATCCAAGAAATAGTAATTTTGATGGAAAAAATTGTAGAATACGGTTTGCTCGCCAAAACGGCAAAACTGGCGAGTTTATTGTTTTACTAAATCCGTTAAATCGTGACTTTGAAGGGAAAATTGTGCATACTTTTTTCCGCCAAAACTTTATAGTCACAGAATTATATATTACCACCAAAACTTTAAAACCACGATTTCATGAGTTCATGAATTTTGCGGAAAAAATTAATTACTCGGGTTTGCTAGTTTTAGAAAATTACGTTATTGTACGATTCTGGCAGACATGATTTTCTGCGTTATTTGAAAAAAAAAATATTTTATGCGTTTATGATCTATAAAGGGGAAGATGGCGTAGTGCAATTCCAATAATTTGTCCTATGCTTTTTTCTACCTTAAAAACGATCCAATGATTTTTCCTTCCCAAATTTCTTAAAAATTCAAAAAATACTTTTAACTCTGAAATTGTGCGTAAATCATAATCGTCTGTAAGACTGTAACAATTGTTAGTCAATTGTAACAAATGATAATTATATTCAGCTGACACGTATATAACAATCATACCCGATTCAAGTGGGTAGGAAATATTTTTTTTTTAGTATGAATCAAAACCCAAAATATTAAAAATTAGAACATATATTTGATGAAAAAACCACAAAAACATAAGTTTTAGTTAGAGGCCCAAATTTTTTTTTTTGCCTGAAGGTTCTTATTTTTGGTGGGCCATGGCTGGTGACGTTGCATACAAGCAAAACGACGATGTTTTACTTTTTGAAGTTTATTTTAGGGATTATTGTTGATTTTGTCTTTTTTTACCCAAAACTTTTAAAAATGCCATTTTATTTTACAAAAATCTTATGAATTTGCCATTTTTTAACACTTAAAAATGTACGTATTTACGATTATTTTTTGCAAAAATACATACTTTATACCAAATACTAAACCCTAAGAACAAATGAAACCGACTAAACTCAAACATAATGGATAAAACGCATGTTAAATCACCCTGAAAAAGGGTAAAATCCACAAACTATTCAAAAAAGGACAAAATCCACAAATGCCATTCAAAAAAATGGCAAATCCGTAATTGATTCTTTATTTTAACAGAAAAATTATACCCATGACCTTTTAGACAGATTGCATTCACAATACAAACTGAGTCACATTATTT